ATATTCATCTTCTCGTCTATGTTGCGTTCGCAAGGCATTTGCCGCTCATCATAAAACGCGATAAGCCAATGTACTTTTGCGTGTGCATGGGCGATCTTTTTTATATACACATGTAGTTACATACATACAAATATATTTTTTTTTTGCAATAACTTCTCCCTTATGTATCTATGCAGTTTTTATTGTTTCAATTTATAATTGCTAATAAAGTAGTTCCAATGAAATGGAAAATTGGATAGCTACTGTTGTGAAACTAAATTTCATTTTGGCCGCTATAAACGTAGTAAACGTATTGCAAATGTTTTATTGAGAAAAAAAAAACGAGTAATAAAATGTAATGCAGCTTTTAATTACCATTTAGCCTGCTTGTTATTGATATTTTCCTTGAGAGGCAATCAGTTGTACGATCACTGATTTACACTGAGCGAAGAATTTTTTAAAATGCATTTAGAGGATTTAAAGGTTATTCACAGAGACGTTTTAACAAAAAATATTTGCTTTCTAAATAAGTATCTTAAGGCCAAGAATTGTGTTTCGTTTGGGAAATTATATGTAGTATACATGAATTTGTGGTAAAAAAATTTAAGTGGCCAACAGTAAAAATATTAATAAGATAAAGCACATTTCCTTAAATCTGGCGAACGTAACGATTATAACTTTTATTAAAAAAAATTACTTTTAATTATTATTTACTGAATTTTATTTGCTAAAAAAGAATCGCAATTTTTTTAATTTTATTTGCTGGTCAAAAAAATAAAAATAATTTTTTTTTACTTTTAATTTTTGCTTAGAAAATAAAACTTAATTTTTGGTTTATTCTTTTTGCTTAAACTTACTGCCGGTTTCACAGCAATTTAAATGGAAAATGATATTTTATTTTCTGTAAATTTTCATAGAAGATTCAAAAAAATTAAAATTTTTTCAAGATGAAGCACATTCCCTTAATCCAGAGTTCGTAACGGTTTTAACTTAGAAAAAAATACTTTTTAATTATTATTGAATGAATTTTATTTGCCAGAAACGAATCGTAATTTTTTAAATTTTATTTATTGCTCAAAAAATAAAAGTATTTTTTTTTAGTTTTATTTTTTGCCTTGAAAATTAGTCAAATGTGTACGAATACGCGCCAAATAATTTAATTTTTTTTTTTTATTGTAGCTGGTTGTAAGTTGTAATAGAAACATGACATTAAATAGTTTTAATATTTTATGTCATGAGAAAAGAGGTTCATGAATTAGCAAATTACTTCCTATATAACAGTTGTTGACTTTTTTCGTATAGAGTTGCCTCTAGAAAACGAACTTCTCATTACCGGCATACTTTACTGCAGAAGGTTTTTCTACTTAACTGATTATCTTAAAATCATATATTAGATGTCTTTTTTATATTTTATTTTTATTTTTTTATTTTTTATTTATTTATTTTTTTTGTATGTAACTGCAACCGATTTCGATAATTCTTTTTTTATATGAGAATTTAAGTTGGTTTTGTTTTTTGCTTAAAAATTACTTGTTTCAAATTCTATTCAAGCGACTGCCTTTTGATTTCCCTATCGCGAGTCACATCAGTCACGTAAAGAGTATTTTTGTACTTATGCTAGAAAGTTTAATGGATTTTAGGATGAAGGTATACACTTATCAGCGATGTAAGCAAAGTGAAGTTTATAAAATGTGTGTAAACAAAAAAGTGAATTAATTAAAGAAAATGTGTATATAATAATTATTTCTACCTCTTATTTATTTTCAATTTTTTTTGCATTATTTAAATTTTTATGTCGCTTTCTCAGAACGGTTGACATTACTATTATATTTCTTTTCATACCAATTAAAAAAACTGTTCTGGTTTTGTTTCAATATTTTGTTTACTATTTTTCTTGCCATTTAATATCAAAACCTTCACATAGCACGTGGTGCAGTTACATACATATTTATATACATATGTATATTTACATACGTAGTATACATGCAGTGGCGCAAATATATGTAAATTGGGCTATTTTTCTTTTGTTTATTTAATGTTCATTATTATTACTTTTAAGTATAGCCCGAATTTCAAACTTTGTACAAAAAGTAGGACAATTCGAAAAAAATCCATCAAAATTTCTAGCTTTTTAACTAAATTTATTAAAACTGTTGTTAGGTTGCAGTTTTATAGCCCATTAAATTTAAGCACAACAAAGTGCAAGTTTGAGATAGCTAGTGCTCACCGTTGACTTTTGGAAATTTTTTTGTTGCAGGTGTTGCTCATTTTCTCAAAAAAAAAAAATAAAAATCGAACATATTTTGTATGGGAAAACATTTTTAAGGCCATCAATAAAAAAAAACAATTGCGAAAAATTTTCGTTTTTTTTTAAACACTTCAAACTTACACAACAAATTAATGGTCTACAAAACTTCATATCTAAAATGTTTTTTAAACTTTGAATAAAAAGTTTGAAGTTTTAATGAATATTTGTCGAAATTCGTGAAACTTTTTATAAATCTTATAAAAATTTTGAATTTTTTTTTACTTGGTTTTTGTTAGACAGTAAGCCATACTTTTATAAAAAAAATAATAAACATTAAAAGACCAAATAAAAATGGCAAAACTTGTTAAAATGTTGCGTGGCTGTTGCTTCTACACACATACTGCATATTTATTAGCAATGATATGCTTTTATTTGCGCTTGCGTTTTTCACGCGTGCTTATGTCGTGCCCACTCAGCGGATGTGTTAGAAGCACGTTCCAAACATATATTTAATTTTAATGTATTTGAACATAAATGCTTACAAGCAAATGTGCATATACAGTGAAACCGCGATATAACGAACTTTGCTAAAATAACTATTCTTTATAACAACACATTTGCTAAGTTCCATAAAAAACCTCGTTCTTGAGAAATTTTCCATACAAAGCTGTTCCATACATATAGGGTCCCGTTAGAAAAGGTCCCTAGAAAACAAACGACTCAAAAGCCTCTAGCCAAAGGTTTTGGTATTCTATAAATATATTTACAATGTATATAACGAAGTATTAGTCAAACTACTTCAACTTCGTTATATTGAGGTTTTACCGTACCACGAATGCAATACATATATACACATGATTTAGTCATGTACTTAAGCATTCACGCTCACATAAGTCTCTTGTAAGTAATTTATTATAATTATTTTGATTTTGCGATTAGACAACTTTTATTTTATTTTATAAGCATACAATTAACAACCAGTAGTAATTAAATGTTGTATGTTTTTATGATGGGTTAAAATTAGCTAAAAATTCAAAACGTTCGATGGGCATCGGACCACCTGCATTCGTCCAAGCTGGTCAAATGGTGAAAAAGTACCAAAGGGTTTGAGAAAGTTTGTTAGCATTTTTTTAAGACTATTTGAAGTTTTTTTTATTTATTTTTCAAATTTTCCCTTGTGATCGATATCAAATCAAAGAAAATACATACTGGAGTCACACAAATTTTATAAAATTCACAATAAAAATATTTTCAATAATCATCCCGTATCACTGATCAAAACCGCTCGACACACAGTGGTATCAAAATATTCCAGAGCCTTCATTTTTTACACGATTTCATTTATATTTTTTATCAAAGCTGTGAAAACTTTTAAGAGACCTACCGAGCCCGATCGTTGTTATTTTTTTGTTTATATACATTTTTTTAGCTCAGGGTGTAGAGAAAGTAGCAATTTTGAAGAAAATCTATTTTTGAGTTTCTGTTAATAAATGTTACATAATAAAAAAATAGTAGGGTTCCCCCACAGTAAAAAAATAATCAACAGAAAAATGTTAAATGTTGTAAAAAATATCCACGAAAATTAAATTTTTTATTGTTGAATTTTTAGAAAAATTACACAGTGCAACACTAATTTTAATGCGGCAAATGTTGAAGCCATTTTTGATAGACTTTTTCCTGCTGATTACAAATCCGTAAGTATAAAATTTCCATCAGCTCCAGATTTTGAGGATAATGAGGACAAAGTGTCAAAAAATCGTGTTTTTGCAATATTTGAGAAGCTCTAGCAAAAAAAATAAAATTATAGAACCTTCCTCTTTAATTAAATCTAAAACTTCCGACTACTGTCCCTAGAAAAGGATATAGATTGAGACACAGGAACTCATCACACGTTAACTCACCACCCATTTCCTACCACACCTTAACACTTTGACTCACCGCAACTAAACTAATCACACCCATTCTAACCTATACTCACCACACCATCACCTGAAAATGGGAGCCATTTCGGGATTTTAGAGATGTTCTGGATTATCGCGGCTAAATCAAGATTCCCAAGACCTTTTCGGGACTCTCGGGGCCATTTCAAGATTATAGCGATTATTTCGGAATTCCCGTTATATTTATCGATCCTGTTATCGATAAATCTACCGATTTTACAGTTCTTAGGTTTATCGATAAAAGTATCGATATTGTCATCGATGTAATTTTCGATATTGTCATTGATATATCTATCGATTTTGTTATTTATTGTTGTTATTGTTATGCGATATTGTCAATGATATATTTATTGATATTTTTATCGATGTGTATATATGTGTATATTGTTTGTGAATATTTATCGATATTTTTATCGGTATATACTATATCGATATTGTTATTTGTATATGTATTTGTCAATAATTTTATTGATATATTAATCGATATTGTTATTGATGTAATAATCGATATTGTTAATGATTTATTTATCGATATAAACCGATATTTTTATTGATATATGTGTCTATAGGTTTTGTTATCGCTATAATAATCGATATTGTTACTGACAGATCAATTTGTCGATACGCACGAGAAGAAAATTTTTTTGCGGCTGTCTATACATATTCCTCCAAACGATGCAAAACGTAATATAAATCTATTTTTACATAGTCGACTGCGTGTGTCTAGTCGTGAAGATTTTAGCAATCTTTCCCAAGTTGCAGCAATAGATCTTTAAGATATTGATTTTCTGCAGCAACAAGTACCTCATCAATAACTCATTTTATTTTTACAGATCCATCAACCATCTCCTCATCGACAACTACAACAGAAGCATCCTTACGCGCAGCTGAGACGACGCAACACGGTGACAGCGCTGCACCCAGTACTGCCATCACCAACAATAGTGCGCCTGCGCCACCATTAGCAATGCCAATAACAACAATAGAGCCAATTATTACAACTGAACCAACAACTACGCCCACAAGCGAGTACAGCAGCGAGCGACAGGCCAAAGAACATATTGCGCCGCATGATGCGGGCGTTGAGACGCATCAAACGATTACAACTACAACAACAAGTGCAACACCAGGCACAAAGGAAGACGTAATACTGCCGCATGTATTGGCCGAGCATGCGCAACACATTATCGAGGTGGACAAAGCAGAGCACAATCACAATCCGCCGCATATGCACTTAACACCCTACGACGCGGAGCACATACAGCATATACATGGACATCATGGACATGAGCACGAGCATGAGCACGATCACGCGCATGAGCACGATCACACGCATGAGCACGCCGACGATGTAGCGCACCTCGATCACATGCACGAGCACAATGGCCACGAAGAACACTCGACGGAGCATGTGATCTCCTCGACCGCAAATGACATTTTCGCTGAGAGCAAGGAACCAAGCAAACCACTCGATAGTCCTTTTTTGGAAGGCAATGCGCATGCGGAGGGTGTGAATGACACACATGGCGGGGAAAAAATTGTGCACACACCCGCTGAGGTGCTGATCAACCAGATCTCACATGAATTTGAAGAGGATGATAAAGATTTGAACAATTTTCGGCATCCGGCAACGCTGATTACTGCCAGCAATAGCGACGAATCGATGATGGCCGCCATGATGGCGGCAGCAATGAAGGAAAATGAAAGAGACGCAACAGCGGCGGGAGGTGAGCCAGCAGCGCGGCATGAAGAAGATCCCTACCACGCGCACATACTCTCCGAGCAACACGATCGTTTGGCCGAACAGGAAGATTTCAAACTGATCGCGGAGGACTTAAATAGTTCGACAGAGTCGCATTTAGAGACGACAACGCAGAAAGGCGGCGAAGTGGCAAAGAAAGTCGAAGCAAACGCAGAAGATAATTTGGCTGTTGTAGTACCAGCGATTGCAATGATCACTACAACAAATATAACAAATGAAGAACGTGGACGTGCAATGAATATAGTCGAAGTCGAGCAGCATAGAGCAAAAGAAGCGCTTGTTGTGACAACAACGCCGCCATCAAGCGCTGCTAAAGAACCAGTTGTGGTGCCGATCGTCGAAGGACAGTTACAGCACCAACACACTGACAATCATATGCACGTAGATGATCACACGACCACTGAAATTACAACCACAACAAAATCAGAAGTCAACAACAACAACAACAGCGAAGCGACACTTAAAAGCGACGAAGATTCGTCATCCACACCATACCCACAACATTTTTACTATCATGGCGAGGGTCGATCTGTGGGCGATAGCATATCGGCGGAGAATGACGATGTACCATTGAACTATCAATACCACAATTTTGTGACCACAGAACGCGACGGCAACAACAACAATAAAAGTGTTGTACATAAGAGCGGCGCTTTGTTGGATTTAAGCGATATTAACATGGATGAAGACGATCAAATGGATGTGACGCATAATACGCACGAACAAAAGCAACAACAAGAGCAACAACAACAGGAGAAGCAACTTGTAGAGCACAATCACAATAACCATAGTGCGAATGAAGGCGAAGAACAACAACTGAAGATTACCGAGGTTACGAAGGCAGCAGTGGGTGCGGCCGCAGCGGCTATGCTGCAAGACTGCACTGGCAGTGATGAGAAGATGTACAAGGTGAGTGCGTGTGTACTTAAAAATTTTTTGATATATGTGTGTGTGTGTGTGTGTGTGTGAAAAAATTCATATAGTGTGTGACATCATTATTTCGACTGCGAATGAGGTACCTTTTCGTGGGAAAAATACAGATATGCAAACCAAGCAAAAAAGGGATTTATTCAATGGAGTTAGGAAAACAAATTTTTAAACATAGCGTTTCGCATACATATTAGGTAATTATTTCTAAGAATCTTATTTATTCACAACTGGAAATTACTCAAAACATACACAGTATTTCGCTTGCCACTGTTGTTGATCGATTTGTGCCTTCGCTAATCAATACGCGGAGCTTCACTCCATTCGCTAAAGTTAAAAATTTTCATACACTAAATCGTTTCACGTAAAGAAACAAAACATAAATAAATAAATTCAGGTAAACAACTTGTCATTTTGCAATCGGCGCACGACTTCGAAAACCAGCTTTCAGCGACGCTTCATTTCACTTTCTTCACGTTCACCAAATTGAACATTGAGGTTTATTTTAACGATCGTTTGCTTGGGCTCCAAATAAATTGCGTAACATTTGAGTACACAAAAAGGCATACAAAAGAAAAATCGTGTCAGTGCTAAATTTTTTAATTTTTACTTTTTGCCATTAAAATATGCATAAGCATACATATGTACATAAATCAATCACTTGGAGTTACAGATGTACTGTTTATATAACCTAGTTTTTGGCCACTTACTTTTTTTTTGCCTGCACCAAGGCCACCTCATTTCGCAGGCTTACACTTATTCGTCCCTTGGACATGAAAATAAATAACGCGCAGGAAATTTTTATGAAACTTGTATTTCTTATTGCGCACATAAAATGTCTATTAGCTCAAATAAAGAAGTCGAAGAATAAAAAAAATACTTTTTTTACTTCAATGAATTTTTAGGAACTTGCTTTACACTTTTTAATTAAATTATTTGAATCAAGTTTTCTTTTTATTTTTAGATTTTGCATTAAAAAGATTTTTTTTATTTCATTTACGCAATTTTTAGGACCTTTTTTCTTCTTTAATTTAATTTTTTCTTTCTTTTATTTAAATTTCTGATTTTATTGTTTTAAAGAGAATACTTTTCTTAATTTTATTTACTTTAACTCTTTAGATTTTATTTTTTTAAAACAAAAAATATGAATATCTTAATTTCTTTTAATTTTTAAAATTTTTATTTATTTTCAATTTTGATTTTGCTTTCTTTAAATTTTTTAAGTTTAGTTTTATTGTTTTAAAAAGAAAAGTATAATTATTTGTTTTTTTTTTTTTGTAATTTAATTAATTTTTAAAAAACCTATTGCTAAAAGATAAAAGGAATAAGACCTCCTCTTTACCATATCGTTGAACTAGTCTTTCGAAAGACAGTAAAGAGCTTTCAAGTTAGTTGTTAGATTACCCTGTTAGTCTTTAGACCGGTGAAGGCCACCGCCTTTACCATGGCCAAAGCTCTTTTAAGCTTTCTAAACGTTTATTATAGGCCGGTGCAGAGTAAAAGCTCTCTCTGCCCATCGCTGCTTTAGGCGCCAAAGTCGGCACTGTCCCACCAGAGATGTCCCCCTTTCCACTTAAAAAGTATCTCAGCCGAAGAAAGTTTCGAATTTGTTTATCAGGCAAGTTGACCTAACGTAAGTAAAGATGTACATGCCATCCACGCGTGCGCAAATATGTACATACATATGTACCTAAGTGTATTTAAACCAACTTAAAAACTGCTTTAATGGCATTCCTGCGCAAATTTTACTGCGCTGCTACCACAAAGAAATGTATTTACCAAAGGTTCAAACCAATTCAACCTTGGTTGCTGCATTATGAAGACAGAGAAAATCAGCCGTTTAAGGCCAACACTCTAGCAGGGCCACGCCCATTAGCAGTCACTTAAACAGCTACTTAAATATGCAAAAGAGATTTCACATTGCGCCATCATCAATAGCAACAATTCGAAAAACAACGCTTGCAAGCAAGCTATTGACTTGCAGACGACTTGCCGTGTATGTATGTATCTAAGAGTATGTGGCAAATGGAATGCGGTACGCAGTAGCATGCGGCAGGCGACAGGTGGCAGGCGGCAGGCGGCAGACGGTTGGTGGCGGCATGTGGCGTATGCATGTCCACTACAACAACTATTGGCATGACATGCGTCACGACGAGCCGACTGAACGCTTCACTGCCGCCTTGTGCAGTGTGCAAACAACACGACAATAAATGAAAATATTTGCAGACCATATTGAAAAGTGAAAGTAAAATTCGATTTTTATTTTATGTTTGCGCGCTTCGCGTTTTTCACTTGTGTATGTACTCATATGTATGTAACCAAAAAAATGCATCAATGAAAGCAAAACAAACTGCAAAAAAACGGAGGCGGACAAACAAGTGAATAAGTATCTAGATATGCACGTAGCCTACATGTACATATGAGCACATGTGAATATGTATGTACGAGGGCAATTGAAAAAGTCAGGGAATTAAAATGCAACACTGCTCCCTTCAGCTGTCATCTGATAATAGACTACGATAAAATGTTGAGTATGCTGCGTCATATCGAGAAATTTATTTTTGATGCAGAAATGTATCTACATGTATGCTCTAGGAACATTTCTCAATCAGAAATAAAATTTTGAAAAAATGTCGATTATGTTTTTTTGGCAGGTAGGGCTCGATATAGTTTTTGTTTGATAGCAGAGAACCTCGTAAAATTTAACGAAATTGAAAAAAGTGAATTTCGTGTGCTGACCAGACATTATTTTACGTGTAAAAGACCATCTCCGAAATCAAGGAAAGACTTGATAAATACTATACTGCACCATCACTTTAAATGGTTAAGAAGTAGTTTACTGCGTTAAATATAAATAATCGGTCTGCACGATGGGTGCATTCACTCCACAAACAGCGTAACCGTGTGCCAACTTCAAACGAGTGTTGGACGCAATCCCAATGAATTATTGGGCCGTTTCGGAACAGTGGACGAAATATGGATCCACCACATCACACCTGAGACCAACGAACTATCAAAAGCGCGCACAAAATAAGGCCAAAGTGAGTCAGTAGGCCAATAATTAATGGGATACACGCGGTGTGGCCGGCTTACATCGATTACCTTGAAAAAGCCAAAACGACTGCCAGCGAATATTGTTGTTGTTGTTTGTTTAAATAGACTCGATGTTACTTTGAAGCAAAAATTACCACATTTAGCCGAGAAAAAATCCATCAATTTTGCTAAGAACTCCTACCCCGTCCACCATATTCATCAGTTTGAGCCCACAGCAACTATTTGCTGTTCCCAAACCCAAAGAAATGGCTTTGCAGTAAGAGATTTGGATCGAGTGAAGAGGACATCACTGAAACGAACGCTTATTTTGAGGACCTTGAAATCCCTATTATTTGGAACAAAAAATCTGGGTTCAATGCATCGAGCTAAAAGAAGAAAATGTTGACAAATAAAACGCTTTTTTTCCGAAAATAATATCTTTCATTCCAAAAGTCACTGACTTTTCAAATTACCCTCGTATAATCGCACACGTAACTGCAGGCGTATGTAAGCGCTTACAACTGACTGCGCTCTCACAAACCTGTGTTGACGGCAGGCATTCCGATAGCTAGGCAGCGTTTTAATGAGTACCGGCCGGCAACAAGTGTTCGCTCGCATGCACTCTATCCATTGCTGGTCAACCGCTAATTATGGGCGCGGAAGGTGCTGAGTACCATTTGGCCTGCAGCGTTGAATTACTTTGAACTATTTTACAATTGTAGTTATAGTAACAATTGGTGGAGAAGCAAAAATGGTTAATATGATAGCTGCGAGGTGGCGGCAACACTTTCAGTTATATAAAATCAAACAATGTTCAGTAAGAAAAGCTATGCAGTGGATTGTATGTAATTAAAATTATTTTTATTTCAAACACTGGTAAATAAAAGAGAATTTGAAAAAAATGTCCAATAGAAAGCCACAAATACGGTTAAGTTAAGGCTTAATAAGTGGGGCTGCCGATGCATGATATGCGCTGGATCTTGGTTCCCCTACCTGCCTTAAAAGTAGAACTAGTCTACTAAGAGAAATCCTGACCCAGACGGTATCATACCGTTACTGCTGCAGAAATTTCCGGAGCCTATGGTATTCTGGATATAATGGGTATAAGAAGACAGTATCAGCTTGTCTAATATCACACAAAGTTGGAGAAGAGTTAAAGTTGTCTTCATTCTTAAACCGGGAAGAAGTAGTCACGAGAAAGCTTAAGAATTCAGACTTATAAGTGTGCTAAAGGTGCCTTTACACGGGTCCATTTTCTAATAGATTTTTGTCGGTCAACTAAAATCAACCAATCGATGGCAATTCAACCGTAAAATGCAGCTTAAATGTATTGAAGATATTGTAATACTTGCACATAAGGTATTTTCTGAAAAATTCCAAATTTCGAAAGCTACACTCATACATATATCAAGATCATAACAAGTAGTGCACGTTGATGACTTTCCTCGACATGAATGGGGCCTTCAAAAACCTAACAATCGAAGCATTTACTCGATCCCTGCACTGCACTGGACGATATTCTACTGGATCTCAACAAAGGTGGAGTGGAGATAGTAGCGGATGCAGATGATGTAGGGGTGGCGATATCAAGTCTTTCCCCCTTTACGATTAGCGCAATCCTAGATGGAGTTTTGTTCGAGCTGCACAGCTGGGCCATAAAAAGTGGTGAGGTTGTCAACCCGAACAAAAGGGAACTAATGCTATTTACCAGCAAAACAAGATTAACAAAATTCAGGCTTCTTCTGTTTAATTGAACTAGTCTGACACTAGTCCACTGAGCTATAAAGGAGCGTATGCATAGACATTACGGGCACTGTGAGTACAACGTCAGGACCGAGCCTTAATGTTCTGTTGAATTTGCCGCCCCTGGATTTAGCGATTCAGGAGGAGGTAATGAAAACAATGTGTCGACTGCACTATTTTCGTCTGTGGCACGACGATGGGAGCTC